ATGGGCGGACTAGTCCTTATTGTGGGACCAGCTTAAGCCACATTGGTCGACTAAGCTTTTATTAAAGAATAATTGATATCCTCGAAATCTACTTATTCGGAAATTTAAGCTTTCCGCTTTTGCTCTACTTGACGGACATCTTCAGGGTTGAATCCCATTTTGGCCAAAGCTTCCAGTTACCATCTTATGTCTAGAAGACTACACCTCTCTTTTTTTGTGATACGGATAAAGCTTAAAATGCTACTTCACCGTGCAATTAATGTTTTAATAAGGATTTCCGGCTCTTTATTCGACAGTGATATGGTGGTTTTCAATGCAGACAAAGGTGGAGCAATCGTCGCAGGAGTGAGCATTTGTTATAGGGAGTAGATGTATTTCCAGTAGAATGACAATACTACATTGAATCTTCTAATGAAGGCTCATAATGAGGCTTTCAGAATGGCCGGAATGTACGCTCATGTAACGGGGAAGCAGAGAAGTGAAAAATAAACTCATATCGTAAAAGAGATGTTACAGCATCCAAGGCTTGCAAGCATCTAAAGGTGCACGAGAGGCCTTTGTGTGGATAAATTGTGAATAATAAGGAGCCTGACTCATAAGATTACATCGTTCGTATGCATGCAATTAAGAACAATTTCTGAATATTGGCCATATTGGGTTAAAAATTATTATTATATGTGGGATCCGTGTACCACAACAGTCCATTTCAGAGAGTCAAGTGCGCTCGGGCGCGTTCATCCGGGAGAAGCAGCCAGAGATTATAGTAATTATACTAAGTCTATGTACATCCCTCTCATTTAGCACGCAAAAGCTTGGTTGGCTTCCATTTTTGAGAAAAGTTAAGTGTTGAACTCTTAAGACGACTTAATAAATGGGGTTGGGTTGTTTTTGTAGTTGTTTGAACAACAACAACAGTACAAATAACCAAAATAGGTCATGAGTGAAATCAGAAAAGAATAGCAGCTAAGTGCCAAGATGGGTTGAAATATCCACAGAAAACCAACATATGCGGATTCGATTCAAATCTGATTTGTAACTATAGTCACAAAACAAGGTTTGAATGTTAAAATGATTAGACGTGGGTTGACCTCGTTGTCGCAACTTGATCTCGTTGTCAGGGCAACTATGTAGAACACACCTAGTCCGAAGTCATCTGCCATAGTAATTTTCATGATTCCCAGCATCAGACAGTGTAATTGGTACATTCTCAAACGTTTCGCCAGCATCATCAGTGAGTTTTATCATTCGCCGCACCGAGCTACGAACTCGTCAAAGAGACAAGTGAAGTCAATCCCTCGACAACCGTTCTGCCGGAAACGGTTACACTATCACTCCTCTTTCTGTCCTGGCCTATCTATCTACTCTTTAACCTCTTATCCCACTGCCGCCCTATCACAACTTCTCACTTGTTTCGCTTGTCTGGCTCTATTCTTGATTTCCCCGAGTTTGCTTAGGCAGTAGGCAAAGGTATCGCTAGCTCTACATTCCTCCAATCTCCTGTTCATTAGATTCTTCTCCCCAACGATGTCAATAGCCTCCCTAAGCTTCTGCTTCCTTGTCGTGTCCCCGTATGGAGCTCTTCTTTCTGTTGCCTTCCAATTGATCTCGTGTCCAGTCCGTGCGATCTGTTCTGCTAGCACTGATCTTTTGGTATCCATTTTTCTGCAGAGCATCTGATGTTCCTTGATTCAGGTGCTAATTTTTCTCCCTCTTTCGTCAATATATTTCTGTTCGCAGGCGCCGCATGATATAAAGTAAATTCCTGAACAATTCAATTTGTCTACCTTTTCATGTTGCGTTGGTAGACTTGTGAAAAGTGTTGATTTCTCTTTCATGGTCACCTGAATATTCCATTTACTCAATATCGGCCATAGTTTTTGAATTAGTTTGCAGGAAGGTAGGCATATCCACAACAAGTATGGAGCAACACACAAGTTAGCAAAGTTTGTATGCTTGAAACTTAAGAAATTAAATAAGAGGCTAGCAAACACGGTGAAACATTCGAATGAATTTTCTCAAAAAATCAAAATCATGGCACTGGAAGAAACGGACTTATTGGTCAGTTTCAATGTGGAATCGATGTATACAAATATCTCCGGAGAAAATGCACTAACGGCCCTGCTGGAACCCCTGGACCGAGACGAGGATATCCTGGATTCACAACGGATCAGGAGGGAGTCGTTAACAAGACTCATCAACTTGACAATAAATACCACCTATTCCACATTCAACGGAAACATCAAGGAACAAATATTTGAACTTCCCATGGGATCACGGCTCTCACCACTTTTTGGCAAATGTAAACATGAACAAAATAGAAGATAGCTTCAAGACGGCCCTGCTAAAACCGACATTGCTCATGCGGTACCTGGATGATTACTTCGCACTTTGGTCACATGGAAGAGTTTTTGAAATTAGCAAATCAAATTGATGGAAA